ACAAGAGTAGGAGTATCGTCCACGGTTGCCTGCTGAACATTTCACAGCTAAAACTTAGCATTTTTATTTTGCGCTAGTTGTCAACTTTTTCTTTCTAAGATCGTCCTTCTTACGCACTATCATTTTTTTTTTCAGGTGAGAAGTTCCGCTCAGAGTGGAAAATTACCTCAGAAAATGTAAAAGAGCTGCGCACAAATATTTCGAGCATAGAAAACTTGAAAAAAAACTTTACCTTCCTTCAGGAGGTTATCAATGATTTAAACTCGGTAAGGAAATTCAATTTTTTAGGCAATATGGTCAGGATTCAGGCCTTAATAGCGGCACGAAGAATATAAAGGATCACTCATAGATGAAACTGATCATTAGTCTCGTACAAATGAAATCTCAGCGTAAGATGGTGAATTCGTATCAACAAGTCGACATGCGATTTTCTGTTTATATTACGAATAATGATTATGATGGTGGCAGGAGAATTTTTTGGGGGGACCTCATAGTTTTGAGGGGGGGACAGAGGGGAATTATTCGTCACCAACAGAGCTAAGGAGAGACTATAGAAAATTGACTGCCGATTAATTTTCAAAAGGGTGGGGGGAGGGGTCGTGAGAGTGTAACAGAGCCTTATAGGAGGATCAGTTAAATGTTATCGTGATACAACCAGAATCCTCCAGTCACCCCCCTTCCCCCCACCCCCATCCAGGTGATAAATAATGACCTCCATCGATATTGACCGTTCCCTTAGTTATGATTCCTCCTCATGATGTATTCAAATGGTAATATATCTATCATCATTTTCTCAGGAGAGAAGGCATCTGCTTGAATCCGTGAAAAGGTTGAGGGAAGAGTATGAGAGGACTCGACAGCATGTCTTACACAACGTAAGTACCCCGCTAAGAAATTCTGTCAACCACGTGCAAATAGCACATTTCTGAACTACCCTTGGCCTCCTTTTTAAAACGAGGCCTGGTGCTCAACCATTCTTGTAAAAATGAGTTTAATTTGCATGTGAATGAAAACTTATAATCATATGAAAGGATGAGCACCAGGACTCGTTTTAAAAATGAGGCCAAGGGTAATTCGGAAAGGGGCTCTTGTAATTCGGTGATTGATGGATTCATTGTTTTGTGTTTTTCATTCATTGATTTATTCATTAATTCATACAGAGACGAGCGATTTCTTACCTCAACATAAGCTCTTTACAGCAAGGAGATTTATCCGGTTTGTGGGGAAAATTAAATTCGTCAGAAAATGAACTCCTGGATGTCAAAAAAAAGGTTAGTTGCGTTACGACCTTCCAAAATGTCGTCGTCCATAACTGATACACAACGAGAAGTGCTCATCTAAGCCAGGATAACCTTGAGAGAGTTCCATGAAGAGTAAACCAAATTAACAAAACGAAAAGAATGAAAAAATAAAACCAAGACATGTCGCAATCGGGTCGGTCGGGTCAAAGCTATCTTGGCCCTTTTCTCCGCACGTTTATGCGTATAATTGTATTCAAATGGTTGCAAATGTACTTCTTTTCTGAACATGTTCACTTCTCCAGGAACATCATTTCTTTGCAAAGTCATAACTAAGTTTCTCTATCTAATTGCTTCCAGATCAATCACAGAACAAAGCAGCAACATTATTTTAGAAACTCAATTATCTTATCATATGGAGTTTAGATATCACGAGCCTCTTAAAAATAGGATTTTTATGGTTTAACTGATCCATTTCTCTGAAACAGGTGATCAACATGTCCAAGATTGTCCCACCCAGGGGATTGCCGGGATATAACGGTTCCCAGGGCCGAGTGGGTGGTCCCGGACCAGCAGGACCGCCGGGATTGCCAGGTCCTGGAGTCAATCTAACTCTTTGTCTCTATAAGAAACTCAGTTCGAAAGGATTTGTTAGCAGTTCATACGCCAGGCAATCGATATCTATAACTGAGAAAAAAGTACGAGTGACGTTCTTTTATATGTTTTATTTACTTAAAGGCTGTTGAATGTCTGTCTGACCGACTAAATGACTGCAGACTCGCGGTCAGTGAGACAGATTGACTTTTTGACTGACAGATATAGTCTGACTATCTTTCTGAAAGACATACTGAATGACGAACTGACTAAATGGCTGACAAACAAACTGATTGACTATCTGACAAACAGACAAGTGAACGTCTATCTGTTTTATTGTCTGACTAATTGACTTTCTAACTGCCCGACTCTTTTTCTGACTCTCCTGCCGCTGAACGACTGACGAACTGACCAACAGGAGGAACGATGGTCCATGCATCTGACTTATGGACCGACCGACTGACTGACTGGCATGCTAATGAACCAACCGACCAAGTTATCAACGGAACTTGCGACTGGTAAATGAAACTCTTCGAAAGCAACTTAATGCCGTGGTAATGCCATTTATTTATTTCCGTCTGTTTGTTTGTTTGTTAGGGCACAAGAGTCATCAGTGTGCACTGTGACACAAATGACGCCAAAACTTTCCAACTAGAATCCACCATTGTGTCAGGTCAAAGGAAGTATGACTGTCTGTGTGATGGAACACTTAGTACTGGAGAACCAACGATGTATTGCTACATGCATTACTGGGAGTGTCCTACTTGACTGCATCACATCCTTGATCGGGTAACAGACAATGGGATTGAGCTCTCTGTTCCAAACCCTCACTCGGTGAAGGCGAGGGAAAGAGCGGCACTTTCCAAAAACATTTTGATGAGGGCGTGGATGAGGATTCTACTCCAAAATTCTTACTCTCCCTTCGATCGCCTGCGTAACTGTTTACGTTTCTCTTGCGTCATTCAACCATCCATCTATCCATTCATCCATCTATCCATTCATCCATTTATCCATTCTTTCATCCATCCATCTTTTTAGATCTTAAAAAAGCCTTTGAAACGGTATACCACCAGTGACCATGCCCAAAGTGGTGAAAACTTCATACCGTGAAGGCAGTCCTATTTGTAAAATAGATTTCAGATCGTGCGGATTACTCTTCCAAAAAGGCCACCTAACTGATACAGTGTTCCTCAGGCAGAAGGGTCAATGCTTGAGCCACTTTTGTTTAACAGTATATTTAACAACAGGAGGCTCCTGTTAACAACTATTCACCGAAGTAGGGTGAATAGTGGTGGATATTTTACCGAGCGGCGGGTAAATATCCACCACTTTCACCGTCATTGACAGACGTGAATAATTTTTTCCTTATATACCACGCAGATACCAAGAGAAAAGTTTATTTCTTTCAAAATACCGAAAAATGGTCAATTTAAATTTTAAACGCGTGAGTTTGTCTTGCTGCTTGGTTCTGAATTATTTTGTACTTGGCAATTCACTTCCGAACTAGCCTATCAGCGCGCGCGAAAAACACTCTTGACTTGTGTGGTATTTACCAAAACTGACTATTCTACCTCAAGAATGTAAACAGATGATATTGATATGACTGTTACTACTTGCAGCATCCTTGAGCTGCAACATAATGTAAATATTAATTTGCAATATCTACAAAAGTGTAGGCAATAGCAACTGTCTCGGCCTAGAAATCGTTGAATTTCTGACGTGGAACGCTATGTTGGTGGTTTCTTAAGAAAATATCATCTGGTACAGGGGCTAAAAATAGAACTCGGCTTTATGTTCTTACTTCTAAGCTGAAAAGCCATAAAGCTGATAAGCTTCTAAAGCTGATAAGCCATACTTTGATTACTGTAGCTTTGTAAAGAATGACATCAGTGACCGCCCTACTGACAAACTTCAAAGTTGGCAAAATCCTGCTGCACGTGTAACATAGGTGTCCATCGCCTCTCAATTACCTACCAAGGAATTATTGAGCAAAACCTGACAGGTCCAATCTCAAGGAGAGTAGAAAAAAACAAGCAAACAAACAAATAGTTCTTGTAATGTTTAAAATCACTAGGGATATGAACCTAGCTCACTTAGATGATATCTTCTCGAGTAATATCGGGAAATCGGTTTAGAAGCTGAGAACCTTCATTAGGAATCTACAGCTTTACAGGTTGTTAAAACAGACTACTACCAGAATACTTTTGTTGACATTAGGGCGAAAGTCTAGAAAACGTAATCAAACCAAACAAAATATGAAAAATTCATGAGAGGTAGGGTAACTTTGTGTTTTAGTCATGACCCGCTACTTATGGAGTGAAAATGGAATAAAACAGTCGACTTTCAAATAATTTAATATTTTTTACAGAAAGCTATGCCATGCAACAGGCTAAGATATTTGTATTTATTAAGTTATGTAAATATGATTTATACTACGAAGGTTCCAAACGTTGTCGAATTGAATGCAATAGCTTGTCACAACGGCAGGGCAATAAGCCGTGCAATAACTGATTACTTAAATTAAATTTTAAGTTTTCCTTGCAGCTTACTGCACATTTTCGGTATTAAATATCATTCTTTTGCTATTGATATTATCTTTCGTTGCACGATACATGTATTCGATATGACAAAGATCTAAGACACACACACACACACACACACACACACACACACACACACACACAAAAACAGAATAATCAATTTAAACTGCACAATGAAAACAACAAAACCTCTCCAATAAGCCAGAGCAAACAAACATTCTTGCTGCCATCTTGATTGCCACAGTCAGTCCCAACTTATGTTTCATTCCTCCCTTTTTATTCATGCCTAAAATCCTTGGACGCAGAGCTCACTGACACTCATTTCCTCCTCGTGTTAAAGAAAGGGAATAGATGGAACCTTTTCGATTGACGCTGAATCACAAAATTTAAGGAACCAAATATGACCCAAGGAATTACTTTTTATCTTACACCTACAATTAATGGTTGTGTAAGACAATCTCATTTATTAACTTTGCAATCTTATGATTTTAATGGAGTTTTTATTTTAGCGAAAGCCATTAAATTTTTCTGAATATTGCTAGTTCCACCAAGGGACGACTAAGGAAAGTTTAATGGAAGTAGAATCTTTTTACCATTGTCTAGCGCGTGCCTAATTAAGTCAAGTGCAAACGGCCTAGCATAAGAATCGTTGGGAATTAAAGGTCACATTATAAATTCCTCAGCTGACTGAGTTTTTTCGGGCCGTACGGTAAAATGTCTGATTATCGTCGGTCATAACGCTTTGCTTAGTCCGTTAGTAGCGTCCGTGAACCAATAATTTCCCATTCAGTCACTCATACTTCTTACCTGGAAGAGGAATCTCTCGCGAGTTCTTCTCTCTACTCCGACGAGAACATCTTCTTGAACACAGGGAACCATTGTGCAGGAACATAGCGATGGACGTGGAATTTTTTATCTTCCAACACCAAACTAATTACGTCAAGTAAACTACCAAGGCTCTAAAAAAAATCGGGTCGCTCAACTTTTTCCACAGCTATTAGCCATTGTTGACCAATAAAATGAGCCGAGAGAGCAGGTATTTGGGAGGAAACACGGGGAATAAACTTAGCTTAGAGGTAGCAAAAGTCGTGCAGACCATAATAAGAGCGTGAACTCTTGCATGACAATGACAGAACATTTTCACAACTTATAAAGCGAAAATGCGATTTCTCCAAGTTAGTTAACGTTTCAACAGCCGCCAAGAATGAGCAGCATCTTAAATCCACTAAAAGTTGTTTGTCGCAAAAAAGTTTGTGCGAGGCTTCTTGATAAATACGGGCTTTTTGACTGATTTCAACAAACCAAACAAAACGTTTTGAAAACGGCGTGTTTATGTAAAGCTATGCCATGAAACAGGCTCATAAATATAAATGTTTATTGAGTCATCGTCATCAATCCTTTTCATGCCTCGTGGCACAGAGGGCCTCCAGAGAGCTTTTCCACTCCTCTCGATTGGTTGCTGCTGTCCGCACCTCCTCCCACGACCTCCAACATGCCTCTTGCCTTCCTTTCTGTATTGTATGTCCCCAAGTGGTTTTTGTTCTTCCCCTTCTCCTTTTACCTTCAGGCGCCCAGCTCATAGCAACATTGTAATGTTTACGATCTTTCCTAAGAATATGACCTAAGTTTATTGAGTAATTTTTATATAAATCATAAGACAATGGTTCCAAACATTGTGGAACCTAGCATATAAACTGTCACAGGCTCAAAGGCTGGATAGAAAGTTGTACAATAAGTCCTGCAATCGAATTTTTATAGTTTTTCGCAGCTTTTTGCACATTCTAGTTCTTTAAAACCAACTTTTTACTTCTGATTTGTTATTTTTCTGTAGATCTAACAAACATAAAACTGAAAGAGAAAAATAACATCCTATCTAGGCATAAAAAAAGGAAATAGAAATAGCCATTGTCCTCGATTGATGAAGGAAAAAGCTCATTTTATTTTTTGAGGAGTTGAGAGTTTACTCTATTTAACCCATTAGCATTTGCAATTACAATGGCAAAGACCTCAGTGACACAGACAACAACAACGAATTATAAAATGTTCCCCTTTATTGAAAGGAAAATTCTGAAAGTTTGAAGAGAAATGAAACCTAGAACTCGTAAAACTAATTTGAAATTGAGTACAGATTTAAAAAAGACTAGCTATTGATCATTTTATTCTGTTCTTTTCTATCTAGGATGGCCGTTGAGTAGCTTTTAAAGATGAAAACAACAGTCAGAACAGTGTCAGCCATCAGTCGTGTGATGACCTTGACCGGCTGTCGATCATACGACCAGAGCGTAACAATTATCGCCAAACAAAAAAAAAGAAAAAAACATTAAACAGATTTCGAAATAAATATAGCTCCATTCTGATCTCAAGTCACAAAGTCGCCAAAACGTTCTCTTTGCAACACATTTGCGTCTCTTTTGTGCCCGTTTCCTGTATTTTTGCGATCTTGAAAGATCGTGTGCTCACAAGTTTGTTTTTCCAGATTGAGGTTGTTTATAATCTCAGTTAAAGGCTCCATTTCGATTGTCACCGATTTCTACATTACTTAAGTCATTTGAGTGCTGATTTATCCATGCCTATGAAAATTTGGGCGAGAGAAGATGGAATTTCGTCCATAAGATGTTGTCTGCAGCATATACTTAAGCAGCCATTTCGAATTCTTGTTTACCCATTTCAAACCACGTGACCACATAGCTAAAAGAGTCTAGCACGGCTTGCTTTTTCGCCTTTCTGTTTCGAACACTGTGAATGAGCTTCAAGTGCAATATCACTATTAAGAGCTTCGAGAGAATATTTCAGCTTTCTAAGGTCACTAACCGTTTCACTTAGGCCTGTACATTTGCCACTCATTGTAAGATGGTCATTAGCCAAAGCTTCAAGACAGCTTTCAGTGTCGGAACAGTTTATTAACGAATAAATGCCTTTATTAGCACCATATGCATGTCTAACGAGCGATCTAGCAATATTTCCCACGCGAAGTAAGCCATCATCTCTCACCGAGATGTGAATTCCTTTCATTTTGTCAATTGTAATCTCCCGAGTCGCAGAGACCGACTGGGACTGATTTAATTCTCTGTCCAATCGCTCTATAATTCCCTCCATGATTTCTTTAAGATTCTCCCGCTCGATTTGCTCGTACGTCTTGTTGCTTTTCAGCTCACCTAAACAAAGACTGTGTGATCGTTTAACACTGGCCAATTTCAAATTTTTTAGCTTGTATGTTTGGGCAGTTACCAAATATTCCAGGATGCTATTATTCGGCTTTGCTTTAACCGCACCGACCATGAAATCTTCGCATCTCTCCACAATGGCTGTCATTTGATACTCGTGAGCAAGCTTTAGCAGATAGCAGCAGTTTTCTTCCGTTACTGCTCTCTCTTTGCCCGACGGATACATATGCAGAAGGAACTCTTTGAACTCAACCGCTTTTTTGTCAGGGAGAGGGATTTCCTTCTTCTCCTTTTCTTGAAACTCTGAGGTAAACATCTTCTCAAACACAGGCGACCAAAGGGCAAGCATGGCTCGGTGAACATGAAATTTTTTTTCTTCGACGACAAGAACAACGTCGCTCAATTTCCAGGGTTGCGAGAAATCTGGCGATTCACCTCCGTTATTCGTAGCCATTGGGCACGATCGAGTGTAAGGACGTACAACAGAAAGAAACTTAAGCCAGAGAGGTGGAAATTTCGCAAGCAATGAATCACAACGAGGGCTTTGACTAAGAGCTTAGCGAATTAAGAATTTGAGACGGTTGGTTGAGGGGGGGAGGTAGGTTTTTAATGGTTGAGGAGGACAGAAGTTCGGCCTACTGCTCACTATCTCAGAAATCCGCAAGGCTTAACGATAAAATAGATGTGAAGCGGTCAGGTTAGCGATAATATTACTGTTACGTAGCCTTTCGCAGTTTTTCTTCCCAAACACAGCAATTATGAATTGGAAATTAAAAAATGCAGTGTCAACCTACTGGATGTTTTCGAGAATATGTTTTTCCGAGAAACATTGAATGGATGTTTAGTTAATACCACAGAATGAAATTCAATCTTGAAAAAACTTAGCAGGGGTGGGGGGAGGGGGGTCTATAACAGACAGCAAAACATAGAACCTTTATGAAAAATGTTGTGAACAAATGAAATACTACCAAAAGTGAAAAAGGGTACGGAATGCCGTCAAAACAGATTATAATCCAAGCTTGCTGACTTCGAGTGGTTAAAATTTCAAAGTAATAACGCGTGCCTAACAATATTGGCCATTCCGCTTAACTCTGCAACACATTCTGCAGTTTGGCGACACTCGATCTGAGCTGGGGTGACATAAACGTAATGAACGACCAAAACAGAATTTACGGAAAAACAAAGTACTGAATAGGAAACAAACAGAATCTTACATCTGTGGTCCTTTCAATCTTGCAAAACACCTTATAGTCTTTGAGATAAATTATACCGTTAGTTTAACTATTCCAACTAGGAAATCTAGAGCAAAATGTACTTTGAGCGATGATCAGGCCTAGCATTCGCTCCAGACCACCGCAATAATCACTCAATACAAAGTAACACAATTCTAACGCTACTAGTAAGCCAGTTTCGGCTTGCATCCTCGCTTACTTTCAGTAGTGCTTCAGTCAGTATTCCTCGAAGTTGTGCTTAAACATGACCGCTAAGGGGGATTCGGAAACTGGAAACAAAGTGCCAGATTTCTCGCAACCCTGGAATTTAGCGATATTGTTCTGGTCGTCGAAGAAGAAAGAATCCATGTTCACCAAGCTGTACTTGCATTGTGCTCGCCTGTCTTCGAAACCATGTTCACATCTGAGTTCCAAGAAAAGGGCACGAATGAGATCAATCTTCCAGACAAGAACGCAAGTGAAATAAAAGATCTGTTGTCATTTATTTATTTCGGAAACGAAACTGAAACAGAAATAACAGCTGAGAACTGTTGCTATCTGTGTAAGCTTGCACACGAATACCAGATGGCGGCCATCTTGAGTAGGTGCGAAGATTTGGCATAGTCGACAAAGTCAAAGCAAAGCCGAAGGGTAGCGATCTTTCAGATTTGGTGTTTGCTCAGACTTACAGACTTGAAAAACTAAAAGAAGCCAGTATCGAACAAGCTCGTTGCCTATGTCTGGAAGAGTTGAAAAACGACGAAATGTATGATCGAATCGAGCCACAGAATCGAAACGAAATTATGGAAGGAATGATATTGCGACTTCAGAAAGAGGTGAAGGAATCTCGCGAAAGCGAAGGACGAATTAAGTCCAAATTGGCTCGCAAAAAAATATGCTCAGACGAGTTATCCAACTTAGGTAGATTTTTGGCTGACCATGCCCTTCAAAAAGTCGAGTGCCATGCTAGAGCATATTTTGATAATGTTGAAAAAAATATAGCAGTCTTAAGATCGGACTGTGACGGATGTTCCTAATGTAACAGATCGGCTAGTGGGTCACTTTGCAATAGTTTGAGCAAAGCTGGGGGGTACTTGGAGTCGATGGAAGAGATACTTGAATCCATGGAATGGAAATAGCTAATTTACTGTAGATTTTGTTGTGTTTGCACACATCAAACTTTGGCTTGTGATTTCCTTGCGACGCGGTGAAGAACATAAAGGTGTGATGCTTCCTTCTTTCCTTCTTCAGTTTGATAACAAAGTGGCCGAAATTCTTTCTTTTTGTTTTTCCCTACCAAGAGAGGATAGGTTTTATAGCCTTCGTGTATTTCAATTTTTTTTTTCTGCGATTTGAGAACGCTACTGAAAGATCAGTGACGAGATCGACTGGGACGAGGGTATAAATACGTGGTATAGAATCTGTCGACATCAAAAGGAAATTCAAAGGCGCTATTCACATCAGAAGCCAATATCCAACGTCAAACAGATATGGGGGCTTTTAATTATCCGCTTGTCGATCGATGAACAAATATCAAGTAAGCATTTGTGGCAACTTAGATATCACACTACTAATGAAGACATTAGCAGTGTGATTGATTTCATATCATTCTCTGAGTTGAATAGTCACATACATAACAGCAGTGTCCAATTAATTCGTGCATTAAATTGATTTTGACCATTAAATAACAAATTTCAAAAGGAGGTTATTAGAACATGTAGAACGGAAAAAGGGAGAAGAGAATATTGACTGGTTTTTTAGACGCCCACGATTGTTCTAATTCATCTGAAGTAGCTTACCAAGGCAGTAATCTGAAGTGTTACTGCATATTTGGAAGAGCCTATTTAGAAATTTAATTTCTATGATAGGAATACAAGGGGAACTCAGAGTGGATGCTTGTCTCAAATCCCAGAGCATTTAGGAATACACCCCTGGTAAATTAAACATATATGTAATACGAGGGAACCAGTCATTTACTTAGTTTATAATATGCCCTTAGTTCATAATAGTTGAATTTTTATGATTTTAGACCTACGACATTATTAATCTTATATTATTAGTTCTAGTTTCTTTTTATATCTGTACAAACGCGCCCTCCATGGAAACCAGCTGAGTATTTTTGGGGCTAGCGTGTTTCTTTGATTTGAATAAAGTATACCTACCTACCTACCTACCTACCTAAGTATACCTCCTAAATGCTCACAGTCTTCTTTAATAAGATAGCTGTTCTTTTCTATCCCTTGAATCCCTCCTCCTTTTAATCTGACTATTTTTTAACCCTGAGTCACGATATTTAAGGCACCAAACAACCCCAGGGAGTAAAATTTCATCTGACACTAGCTCATTGTGTTACACTTAAAATATGTACTGCATTCCCATAGATCAGCTTTGCAGCCTTTCGTTTCACTGCAGTATTTTAGGTGAAGGCCATGATATTTTTCTGAAAATTGCGAGTCTCTTGTCCAAGGAACTACGGAAAGTTTCTAATTAAAGTAGAGTCTTTTATTTCTTTTTCATTGGCTAGCGCGTGCCCTTCTTACGTACATGTTGTCGAGTCCTAGTTGTGTAAAAATCCAAAAATTGTCAAATAACTCAGCTGACTGGGTTCAGTTGGACTGTTCGGTAATATGTCTGGTTCTCGTTCGTCATAACACTATTCTCGGTCCGTGAGTTATGTCATTGAGCCAACTGAATTTCACTTCNCCCCCTGGCTACACCCTTGATGTAACGTCAGGCTTCAACACGTTCATCCCTTTGGAAAGTTGGATTTGCTGATCATGGTACAACTGAAGCTCCGTCTCGTGTTGGAAACTACGTTACATTTATTACTCTTAAAATTGGTGACATCTATTACGTAACCAAACAGCATGTATGCAGCACGTGTTTTATCGCCCGATATAGGGAGCTGTTCCACGTGCTTACAATGAGACGTAGTGTGTGTTTTCGTGAGAGTTGTGAGTGGGAGTTAATTGAAGTGTAATAGCAAAATTGAATCCAACAAATAAATCGTGAGTACAGCTTTTGCACGTTTTCGACAGCTTGTTTGCAATTGTTTTTTCTTTTTCTTTTTTTTTCTTTTTCATACTCTAATAACATTTACGTCCACTACTGATAGTTCTTAACTTTCTTCATCTAACGTCTAAAGGTACCTGTGCGACCACAGTAACTACAATAACCGGACCCTTCAAGTCTTTGTATGATTCCTTCTGCGATTTGTCTGTAAATCTGTAAATTTGTCTGCAAATCTGAGCATACAGCTCACTACTCTTAAAATCATCCAACCATAAGGTATTAATAGCTTTCTCGACACTGATTTTAAGAAGTTTCTCAAAGTCCGATATATGTCTGTGTAAATATCAAATCATCCATGAAGGTCTTTCCTCCTGCATTTTGTATCTTGCTGACCATAAAATCTTCACAATTCTTGTAAATAGCCTCCATTTGATACTCCTGAGCGAATCTTAGCAAAGCGAGGCAGTTCGTGTTGTTGAAGGTGTTCAGAGCTTCGCCAGACATAGTGGGATAAATGAGAAACAAAGTTCCTTGAATTCACTCGCCTTTTTAACTGGAAGAGGAATCTAGTTCAAGTTCTTCTCTCTAAACTCCGTAGAGAAAATCCCCTTGAACACAGGTGACCATTGTGCAAGAACATACCGATGGACGTGGAATTTCTGATCTTCCAACACAAAAACTACGTCACTAAACAACCAGGACTCTGAAAAGTCAGGGTGAGTAACTACTTCCTCGGTAGCCATTGTGGACCGATAAAATTGAGTCAAGAGAGTGGTTATTCAAGAGGAAACACAAAAAGGCAATCAGTGACGTAGCTCAGAGGTAGCGAAATCGAAAAGTGCAGACCTCAATTGTGACAAGCATCATCTCTTGCATGACAATGACGTAAGGAGGCAGGCTAGGGAAGACGAAACGTCTTCGACTTCAAACAGTGACTGATATGCAATTTCTCCAAGTTGGCGAACGTTTCAGTGGCAGCCAAGACTGAGCAGCTTCTTAAACCCAAGTAATGAAATCTAGAGCTTTATTTTGCACATTTGATTGGAATTAGACTTTGTCCCCTTGGTTACAATTTGCCGCAACCTCAGTAGCACTGTAATCTAATTACTTTCGGTTTTAAACTGTTTACTTAATTTTGTAGACTGTTGAGTCGTGAAGATATTGCGGTGACCACTGGCCACTACTTTAATTATTCGTCTTTGAATAAAATGCATTTTTTTGTTTCACATTGTACCTTTATTTCTACTAACATCAATTGTAGCTTAATTAAGGCTGTGGCCCTGCAAATAACCTTATGCTATAAACTGTCAGTTCGAACAGCATATATGCGGATACGAGAAAATTTTCAAATAGGATTTCTCTGAAATATAATGAAACTGATTAATCTATGACAAACATGCTTTGTCATAGATTAATTAGAAACCGAATGCTTTCTAAAATTATGAGGACTGATGTTACTCTTACTACAAATCCCTTACATTTTGGTCTTGTAGTCTGAAACAAGATGCAGTCTGTGACAAGTTGTGTGACTTTTTTATAGTACTCTATTGTGATTTTGTCAATCAGCTTTGTATGCGTCATTGGCCAAGCATGTGCGAGGACCTTGTGTTATTCCAGGAGAAGCACGTAGTTCGGTGTTTAAACCGTTTAAACCTTTATTTGCCGTTTCTTACACAGTCTGTGACAGCTTATGTTTCCCGAAAGATCGTTTTGCGTTACTTATTAAGACCTATTAGACAAATAGTAGTGCTCAGAGAGGCTGTTCGACGGATTAAAAGGAAGAGGGTGTCTCAGGGTTGAAAGACTGTGGTTGCTGTTCCGCAATAATTCAGTCTAAATATTGCTATTGCCGTGGTATTAACCTATCATGAAAATAAGCTAAAGAATGAGTATATACCTTAAACCATCTCATCGCTCTAAAGTTTCTGTAATAAATACTGTAGTCTGTCCAAACTCTCTGCAGAATTACTCAGGTTACCGCAGCGAGTGTCTTTGTCCTTGTCATTCTTCAGTAAATTCAATTTTTCCATGTCATTAGACGAAACACGGCCATAATTGTAAACACTGACCCTCTTAGGCTGGGTATGATTATACAACGAATTGATTATTTCAGAAACACTTTTCAAGGAACTGGATTTCACTTCCGCGCACGTTTCCTCGAGTCGCGCTATAATCCCCTCAGCTATCTGTAAATAGTTGTTTGGCTCGACCTCGGCACGCTTGGGATGTCGCTTCAACTGCTTCAGATTTAAACGACGCGCTTCATAAACGCATGTCTTCACCAGTGTTTTTAGCTCAAAGTTTTGCCCAACAATGAGTTCGGCTATTACATCCTCATTCTTCCTTGTTTTGATCACAGCTACCAAGAAATCTTCGCATTTTTGGGTAATGGACGTTATTTGATATTCGCGAGCGAGATCCAACAAGAAATAACAGTTGGCTTTGGTCACCCTTTTTTCTTCCAAAGAAGGATACATTATTTGTAGAAGCTCTGCGATTTCGTTTGCTTTCTTTCCTGGAAGTGGAATTTCATCGCTATTCTTTTCCTTAAAATCAGATGTAAACATCCTCTCGAATACAGGCGACCAAAATGCAAGAGTGCTGCGATGGACATGAAATCTTTGATCTTCAACTGAAAGAATGGCATCGCTGAACTTCCAAGGCTCTGAGAAATCTGGCAGACCACTTGAAGCCCTTTTTGCGTTAATGTTAGTCATCGTAAGGCTAATGCGTACTAGAAGCGTTTGAAATTGGATCGCAAGATTAAGACAACTAGAGCGGCGATAACATTCACAGAAATATTCGAGTGCTCCTGTGATTTGCATTTTTAATCACATTTTTAATTTTACATAACCAAAGTAAAGCGCGCGCTCTGATTGGTCAATTTAGCGTCCCCTATTTGCCCATGGGTGTACGCTGCTGACGTGAGTAAATGCAAAGACTATTTTTACGCGCACGCTTGTTTTTTCTGGTCGCGTAAGATTTGTCAAATAAAAGGGAACTCTTTAGCTACAATGTATCAATGTTATGTTATAAAACAAATGTTAAACACCACAGCGTACACTATTGAGTTATGGATGCACTTGGGAGGTTTGCTAAGCACTCAAGAAGCTAGAGTCGCTCTCGGCTATCGCCTCGAGCGACTCTTACGCTTCTTTCGTGCTTAGCAACCTCCCGCGTGCATCCATAACTCAATAGTGTACGCTGTGGTGTTTACCATTTGTTAAATGCAAATCACATTTTTTAACTCTTTAAGACAGAGTTATACGTCATGTAAGACTCAAAATGTCATGCCGTGTTTGACAAACAAATAATAAAAGAAAATCAAATTTCAATATTACTTTGGCTCCAACTGAGCGATGAAAACAGTCAGGAGGGGAGCATTCAACAATCTTTCCTACCATTAAAATAAGCAACTTACCATATGAGCCTTGCCCAAGCTTTGTTTCTGACAAAAGTCAGTGTTGCACAACTATTGTAATTAGCACCACAACTATTGTAATTAGCACCTAAACACTTGCACCTCGTTACTCACACACACACCAACCACAATACATGTAATTACCATATCTGCACCTGCACCCGTATATATCTGTGGACAACCTCATTAAAGTGCAGTTTTGAACACGATAAGTAACGGTCAACATGGTGGCAGCGGTGCTTGTCTTTTAATTTCACAGTCAAGAAGATTCAAGCCGATGAGCGATATGGCCTCAAACACTCCCTTCCCGCAATTCAAAACAACTGGGGATGACAAACACGATGTGGAGGTCTACATCGAAGATTTAGTCGACTACTGTATTATGCAAAACTGGTTCGATCCGTCCAAGGAAACAGAAGCAGCGAAGTGGACGAAACCAGAGAAAGCGATGGCATGTCTTCGAGCATCGTTATCCCCTGCAGCCAGAGCGATCTACAAATACAGTTTAGGATTGTCTGAACAAGATCAGAGCAAACCGCACATGGTTATCAACGCTCTGAAAGAGTATTACGGCGCTAGCATCGGGGTCTCGGGCGAAAGGCAAAAATTCCTTTCCCTGCTACAAAATGAAGAGGNAAAAAGAAAAAAAAAAAAAAAAATTTCAGGCCTGTACGGGATTAAAATTAATCGCCGTCAAAAATGCCAAGGCGCTTATCAACTGTTCTCTAATAACTAATAATTTTATAATTGAAGAAACTTTTTGTTCCCGACGGTCAGATAAGGGTCTAGTTGTGCCTGCGAAGGAAACGCCATTTACCAAGAGCGCAGCAGTCAGGGGAAAATTAAAGGAGCAGATAACGCACAAAGAGCCGGAACTCTGCAAGCATATGGAGATAGAAATAACCGAAACAGAAAACTTTTCTCCTTTACCGATTCCGCAATAATTGAAGGGTAAAAAGCTATAAATAAATTAAATCAATAGGTATTAGAAACAGTTTTTTTGTATCCCTACTAGTTTGAGAAAGTGAGGGAGGGGGGGGCGGTTATTCGAGGGGTCCCCATATTTGACTTTTGACCTAAGAGCTTGGTCCAGGGGGGTGAACGCCTGTTCGGGAGAGGGTACTTACTCGAGCGTGGGTGCATATCGAGGAAATACGGATATTTATAAGGATCTTTCAACTTTTTATAAACTGAAGTGCGGGCATTTTAACTCTTCACTTAATTCGTATTTTCAATTTTGTTCAGATGAGAGATTAAGATCACATGCAAGTAATAAACTAAGCGGAATTAATAGATTCAGGACGGAACTTTTTAAGGGAACATTTTTTAATAGAATCCGTATCTATGGAACAATCTGCCTGATACATTGAGGACGGCCAGCGGTAGTGTTTCTTCTTTTAAGAGACTATGCATAATTTTTTATAACGATAGGGTTTTCCGTGACCCTGAGCACCCCTGTACCACCTGGGCTAAACCAGCACTTAGTTAGTAAGGTTGTTAGTTAGTTAGTTAGTTAGATTACTCAGTTAGGTAGTTAGCAGCTAGCTAGTTACATACCTTGATTAAGTTTTTATATATCCGTATATTTTCTTCATAATGGGTTGACTAGCACGTATGGTTCGTCAGTTCCCTTCTGGTCTTCCCCACTGCCTTGTTATGTAATCCAATTTGTTCTTATTGTGTTTTCTTTTGTTTTTTCCCCATATAATTACAGTGAAATGGAAAAATAAAAAATAAATAAATAAATGAAAAAAAGGTTGATTTTCGACTGAAAGAATTACATCACTTAGCTTCCATGGCTCCGAGAAATCAGGCGGACCAGCTAAATCTTTCTTATTGGTAGCCATCGTTAATTAAAACCAAGCCAAAAGCGATTGACTTCTTTGATGTGGCGGCTAGTATTCAGTGTTCACGCTACTGCAAGCCAAGGGATTCATGTTATGCAAATGTCATAACTATTTCGCCCAGTGTGAAGCAAGACTGGCGAACAACTCGTCAGAAACTGAAATGAAGTTTAGCTGCAATGACAACCTGAGAGCTTGGATGCGAGCATATGCCAAACCTCCCGTTCTTAAAGAGCAGTGCTTCGTTCCGTTTTGTTGTTGTTGTTGTTGTTGTTTGTGTGTGTGTGTATGTCTGAGTGCGTGCGTGCGTGCGTGCGTGTGTGTGTGTATTTGCCTTTTTTTCTTATTTTTTAGGCAAAAAGATACCAATATTCCATATTCGAAATAGAAATATTTGTCACATGAGTATAACACGTGCTATTCTAAACACTTAGCTGCCTGAATGCAGTTCGTAAAATCGAAACGTAAGGCGGCATAAGTTCACTCAAGCTTTTGAATCTATTACAAGAGGAAAAATGAATTAATGCTTAATGCTAAATTTTATGTTAATATTTTCTTTATCTGTCCGTTTTATTTGATTTGATTTTTATTTTTCTTAATTTCTTAATTTCATTTTAAGCCATTGAGTAACGACTTGTCCTACAGGTACCTTGAATTCATATCTGAACTATGACAGAAATTGAACCAGTTCATTTATTTACATTTTTCTTAAAACTTTTGGTAAATTAATACAATTGAGATCAAACATGAAGGTTTATGGTTTATTTCATTTTTCTACTCTTCTTTCCTGGATCACTTTTCTGTAATAAAATTTAATTTATTTTGCACATTTAAGCAACGCTGAATTGCAGAAAAAAAATTCTAATTCTGATTTGTATTTGATTCATAACTGGTTGACACACCTACACTGAAGCATTTACTTGAGTTACAGAAAAAGTATATTTCGATAAGGACCTTGGAAATGCAAACAATCACTTTAATACCACATTGAATGGTCTTTGTTGCAATATCTACAATTTTCTGGAATAAGCAGGATACATTGTTTACTTTTCAAATGCAAAAATCTAACAATTACAAGTAGTGGAGAACTATGCTAAAAATCCAGTATTGCCATGTATATTATTTATCACTATTTCATGGAGTTTTTGCTTCCTTGGACCAGATGTACTGCACATTTTTAATTGTTTTCATAAGTTATAAGTAACTATGATATCTGCATCATATATCTGAAGGTTTCCTGTCAAATCATTGATTGTAAGGTACCCTCTGTTATGGCTTTGAGCATAAAATATGTCTCCATGATCAGAAATTGATAAACTAACTATTAACGCGAAGAAATAAAATGTTGTCGTGTTTTAGGCTACGGTATGTATCAAAATTCCGGATAATAACAACAATGGATTCACACCTCTTGAATGCAAAGATTATGTAAAATTTTTGGGTGTACTAATTGACAAGAACTTAACCTGGAGGCCTCATATTGATCATATTGCTTCGAAGATTAGTAAAATAGTCGGCATAATTGCTAGGCTTAGACGTCATTTACTTTTAAATACTCTTCTTCAAATTTACCGTTCGCTGATTTTTCCCTACACGCTCTGCGGCCGCATTGGGTCAGGCAGCTCAGCGTGATCATAGTTAATTTTCTCACCTTACAAAAGCGTACACTCCGTCTGATTTTTTTTCAAGCAAAATATCCCATGCTATCCATCTTTTCATAACTTCGAGTATCCTACCTATTAATATGCTCTATTTTGAAACCATTTCCGCCATAATGCACGATGTATCTACTAGCTCTACACCAAGGAACAATTCGTGAACTTTTTATTAATTCATCTGAAGTCCGTACATGTAATACGCGTTTCTCTTCCACAGAGAACTTTTATGTACAGAAATCTAGATTGCATGCATGTGATTTTGAGGTCTTTCTCTGTGTTGGTACGAGGTTATGGAACTGTCTAAACCCTGACTTGCGTAAGCTCACGAAAAGAGCATTTAAAAGGAAAATTCATAAGTTGCTTTTGACAGGCTATACTTGGGATTGAGGACTATTATGTTAACGCCCATTCACTAATATTAAAATTCAATACTAATGATTATCGAATATTATAACTGTAGTACTGCGCTCACATCCGTATGTCACAATATTCTCTCCTCTCTACTTTCCAGTCTGCTCTGCCTGTATTTGATTATGTCTTGTTTAACTTACCTGTAATTTTATTGTATTTAATTTGCAAATGACAACTGTACGTATCTTTTAGCTCATAGTGTAGTAAACTAATACAGAGCTTATAACTGCGGTGATATTGTAGTATCTACTTATTTATTTTTTATTACTAATACCCGCCAAGATAAGCTAATGCTATATGCGGGTTGTGTGAATTGGCTTTTAATGTTCCATGAAATATTAATAAAAGCAATAAACAGTAAACAGTTAAGCAGCATTCTGTAATATGCACTCCTTTCAGTTTAAAAAAACCAGTTGCGTGGTTATATAAATTTTGGAAGTAATTCATCAAAGCATTTAAGTCATCAACATCTAGTACACAAGTACCATTAGGATGGGGGAGGCCTAATGAATCACAAGCATGGGAATCAAATGTCCTAAAATCTTTGGTCACCATGACACTATATCATACTTTACTACTCTGAATAGTTAATATAAATGACTTGTACTAATCTCCAGATAAAATTTACAAAGCATTACCCAAAGGCATACAATAAAGGAAATCAACACTAGAGTGACAGATCAGGTATATCACTATTAACTTGGACTGTATTCCATCTGGTAATTAGTTTTTAATACTATAACCATACCAGGTAATTCTGTCAATGAAAAAAGTCTTGGTTGCACAACCTTAACAAGACAGACTTTAGCTAGTTCCCAATATTCATAATGTTTACTAGCTCAGCTGAAGTCGAACTTATATTGAACTCCTATGGCTCTATATCAATGCAGGCAGAGACATGGCTATGCATCAACAACCAGCATTTGGCCCCAAACATTGCTGTATTACCTAGAGAATAATCGGTGCAAAAATTGTTTTGTTGGAATCAGTTACTGTGTAAGGGCCAGGGTTTTTTTTTTCTACATCTCTGCTTAGGATAAACTTACTGTACCGGCGAGGGTGTTTATTCAGAAACAACAACAGGCCCATGTGGTTTGAACAAGTTTATTTTCATGCTGAAACTTTCCGAAAACTGAAAGAACATAACAGCGTGAATGCTAGAGAACAAAAGAGGAAAAATATAACGCGCGAAACCGACAGAAAACTTACTTTACGCCTTACGGGGCTCGAAGGACACCGCGTGGTCGAAACTACCTTTTTTTTAAAAACGCATGCTGGGAAGTAATGACGTAAACTGGAATCATCACCCAAACATGACACAAAAGGCACACGGATGCCGTTACAATTATTACTGTCAAAAATTCTGTGATTGAGAGTATTGCAAACGTGGGATAAAGTGCAGAGATCATTTTTTTGGTGAACTCAGATTTGTCCACTGAGGAGGATAATAGATAAGCTTGGCATTCTTTTCCAAATTAAAAAATTAATGTCTGCGCATGTACCATAACTACCTTCGTCTGGGTAAAGTAATACCAGAAAATAGGTTTCTTTTAAACTTTCCCCGATAACTTTTGGACTACTTTACTTCTTTGTGATCAAATAACATTTATTGAAAAAGCAATGCTTTCTAGAAGACACAGGCACATATTTCATGACATACAAACCTTTATCCGTGTTTTTCTGCTTTTGTGTAAAAGACAGGTAAATTTTACGGTGACTCTACTTGTTTGTCGATCACGCGAAACAACACGAGGGTTGTGATCAACATATATACTGATGAGTAAGAAATTTAACATAAAGAGACCTGCATTCCTCTAATAAATGTGACTCTTTATTGGGTTGAACAAAAACAGATAGTTGGACAGAGAGTTTACTAAAGTCTTTGTCTCGGCTTACAAAGGAGTGCACATATCCTTGGCGTGGATGCCTTGTTCCTTTAAAAACGAAATAAAATTTCTGAAAAACTGCCGCACGCGATCTAGTCAATTCAGATGGGGGTCCCAAGCAGTCTTATTGGATTAGAATTAAAGGTAAAGAAATTAAAAAGAAACAAATGAGATATATAAAATATATGACAGTCCGCAAAAATATCGAAGATCCCGCTCTAATCAATTCAAGTAGCTCCGACCGTTTCTTTTTCGCTCCAGTCATGGACATCTCGCCCCCATCTTTCCTCCCATCTGGCTCGGAGTGCATTGAGTGCATCGATCGATCTGTCACTGCAGTCGTAATATAATTCCTTCCTTTATTTCGGAAAGATCCTTTGGTTCAATATGTTCGTACATGTTACAATTTTTTAGCTCTTCCAGACTAAGGCATTTAATTTAGCTCTTTCAATAGAGGCTTTCTCAAGTTTATTCAGTCCGTATTTTTGAGCAAATAGTAATTCCTCAAGGACCTCATCGTCCGGTTTTGTTTCTATCTTGCTCACTAAAAAGTTTTCACATGTCTCGATGACCACTTGCATTCTGTACTAGTGCCCAAGTCTGAGAAGGAAGTAGCAGTTCCTAGCCGTTATCACTTTCTGACCGATCACAAAATTATAAATGCATTTAAGCAGTTCTTTGAATTCATTCGCCCTTTTGCCTGGGAGAGGGATTTCTTGCATTTCCTTTTCTGCAAATTCAGATGTAAACATTTTCTCAAACATTGGTGACGAAAGTGCAAGAACCACGCGGTGAACATGGAATCTTTGCTCTTCAACCACAAGAACGAGATCGGTGAATCTCCAGGGTTGGGTGAAATCCACCGTTTTGTCGTTGATAGCCGCAGCCATTTGAATATTAATAAGCGGATAACAACATAAGACAATTTGCGCGAGACAATGTAATGTGATCGCCGCAGTTTGTTTCGGAAATTAAAAGATAGCTCACAACACAGTCAGCCTCGATTTCATATCCGCCGCGGCACGGGATTATGGGAACGAAATCACAACCTTAACCTTCTTTTTTTCTTTGTTTTTTTTTATTATTAATATTATTTCAATTAATTTTAACTGCAAGCATATTTTTGTACCGGGTTAAGACGTTTTTCCTGGGCTGAATATCATCGCCGAAGTATATTTGTTCTTAGATGATATGCTATATTTTTACTAAAATGATACTTTTGTCATGTTGAAGTACTGTGCGCGGTTGTTTCCGCATAACTGCACGGCACTACACTGCATTTCAGTGACGAAAACTGCACTGACCTTTAAAGTTTGAATATTGCAACTAAGCTCCACTAAGACTGGACTGCGATCAGATTCGATCACGTTGAAAGCTCGATGTGCCCATTGTCCTACACTGATTTCCAGATTTTTTTTGTCAGGTTTTAACGAAATCATTTTAAACTCCCTCAGCTTTCCCTTACTCAGGCAGCCTCTATTTCTGCCGCTTTTTCGAGTACAGTGGCAGGTTCACTTCCCGAGCAGCGGCTGTTTAATGAGTCTGACACTGAGTACTCTTCTAAGTGCGCTGGGCAACAGTTATGTGTCAGTCGTGACGTTTTTCTTTGTTCGTCATAACTATTTATAGTTTAAAGTTAGAGATTATTTTTTAATGATCATTATCATTATTATGTACAATGTTTATGGTTCCACCATGGCAACATTTTTTATGAATAATTAATATTCCACGTTAAATGACCACAGAGGAGAAATAGATCTGAAACACTTCAGTTTCATAAAAGGTTTTAAAAATATCGAGATCGATAAATTTGATGTTAAAATGCTTGTCGCACTGGTTATGCTATCAAGAACTAATCCTCTTACCCGCAAAGTGTATCTAGTTTTCCATTTTGCGAGACGGCGAACTTCACGGTATGTCGAATATTTCCTGCGTTGGATGAGAGGCTTTCCAGACCGAGGACCTTCTCGCAAAAGGGTGTTCCCACTGTTGTCTTGGTGATGGATGGTTACAAGTACTTGAGAATACCACGGAAAACCCATTCCGGTCTTGCGGGCGGGAATAAACGATTTTACGAAAATATTGAATCGTCTTCGATTCTGTCACCTTTCCCGAAACAGTGATTAAGAAAGAATTTTTTATTCACGATCAGGAAAAAGCTTCCTTAATTATAGTTCGTGAACATATCACGGCGCGAACAAATTCATCCACAAAACTAGATCATTTGTTTAACTTCAAGGTTCCGAGTTTCGGGTTTCCAAACTTGAGGCATACCTCTAAATCAAACCCAGTTATTTGTGGGTAATTAGCAGTCGAACGTCAAACCCCACCTTTTTCCTCCGAAAAGCCCATACCACTGAGTTTTCCAATGACTGCCTAAAATCTCAAGTCCATGATCAAAACCGAATTTCTCTCTCAAGTTCATCAATCAGCCAACTTCAATGAATAAAGGCTGATTAGTTTCCAAAGAAACTGTTTGGGGCTGCGTCGGCAGGGGTAACGAAATAATTTGGATATATCAACAAAGTTGAAATGGTAAATTGGCCACCGTAACGATTACAAAAGCTGACGTTTCGAGCGTTAGCCTTTCGTCGGAGCATATAGAGGAATTGTGGGTTGTGTGTGCTTTTAAGGCAGAAAACTTCAATGGTTTTGAGAACATAAAACGTAGTCGTTGAGCTTGTTCTCGGCTGCGTAAAAAATTTGGAGGTATCATCTGACTTTCTTAAAGAAGTCAAGTCAATTGTATGATCATGTACGGTCTGTATGGCAGTCTGTTGGGAGAGGTCCATAAGCGGTTAATGATAAACTTTTGCATACCTCAAGTTTAAAATATCTAATTTAATAGCACGTCATTGGTTGTTCGCAAATATTACACAAAAAAATTCCTTCATCATAAATACATTTCTTCTTCATTACGTGTCTAATTATGTAATTAACATATATTAAAACATTTCTGATCGTTATTTACAATGAGAAATATTAACACTGGTATCAGGGATACAGATTTCTCCATAATTCGAGGACTTTTCACGGTTTCTTTACAAACGGAACGTAGTTACAATATTTTCCAAACCTACACAAATACCGTAACTTCCGGTACTTAACTCAAACAAAAGATATGTTGATTTATATCGATAGGTGTGCGGTTCTATCGATGCATTTCTAAATGTCGATGTTAATTTCTCTCTTGAGGATGAAAATTATCGAAAACATGTGTACGAAGTAAGATCTGTATCTCATTTGATAGTATAATACATTGATGCAATATCAAACCAGTCTGAATAGGTATTCCTTCGCGATCAAATCAAGTCAAAGCTAATGTAGCTGTTTCTCCCTTTGAAATCCCAATGGGAGAACGCTTTCTGCTTTCTTTTCGGAAGCGGAGTTGTCTTCGCCTCTCGCAACACTATGCGATCTAGGTCAGTGACACTGGTGCTAAGAGTTGAAGCTTTCGGAGGGTTAAGCCTAACGCCCGTGATTGCATCGAAGGACTTGGAGCGCGTTAAACTTCTACCTCTTGTCATGTAAGCGATCTCATCTGTTTTCGATCCTTCGTAATGGTTGATAACATACGATGTAACAGCTGTTAAGATAGCTGTCATCCACGAGTTTCTTTCGTCCTCGGAGAAGCAACAAAGAGAAAAGTTTTTTCCATCTGCGTTAATCTTGAGGCAAAACTTTCTCTTTCGATCGCCAACTTCGTCAACTTGCATTGAAATATCCTTTAATGGGATCACACCAAGAGATAGACCGGTGCAGTAACTTTTCTTCTTGTAATAGAACAAACCCGTTGTTTTGAGGATGAAAAATCGTGCTTTCCATAATTTCCAAACAGTTCTACTCTGCTTGAAAAGATACCCTTCTTTCAGCGTGGCTTCTCGGGTAGTTAAAATGGCCATGGACAATGATTGTTTTGACTTCAAATCGATGGGATATATATTTGCGACGATCCGTACAAGTCCTTGAGTATCACACTGCTTTTATACGGCAAGGAATGATAACCTACAAAGTTTCACCTTTGATTTCGACGGAAACTCCTGACTGTGTAATTGTCCGAGGGATATATCAGTTCATCGAAGTAAACCCAACTATAAATGGAGTTTCCATTTACGTCAGAGGATTAAACGTGAAGCAAATGTCACTTCCGGTTTCCGCATGATTAATTCGTTCCTCAAGAGCTATTGTCCTATTTTTCGCATCGGGCAGATCTTGTGAACCTATACAGAAAAAAAAAAGAAAAAAAAAATATCGTTATTGTTGGGACAATAACGATATTTTTATACAAGATAAGTATACATTTCCTTCCTCGATAAGTGGACCAACGCAGACTATCCATATAATCGTCACTTTTATTTTTATATGACTTTCTTATGCAAGAAAAATGAAACATGATACACGCTGAGACCTAGATTGTTGAGGAAATAGTTCTCAATATTCTGTTCACGGCTACAGCTCGTTTGCTCGAGCATGACCGCACGTACATCAAGCACCGAACTGCGGACGTGACTCAAGGCTGAAAAAACGCGTCTGCTGGAAGAAGGCACCATGAAATTTATTCCGTGATAGTAACGCAACACAATCGGAAGTCACACACCAGCGAGTTTCATTGTCTTGTTAACCATCACGGTGATCGGCGAGCCGCCAATCGTTTGGTGTCACCGAGGATGAAATAATCGGACTAACTTTGAATTTTTTCCTGATTTCCCATATGGAATAATTTATTAGTTATCGAGGGTGGATAGTGCGACGCGAAAAAACGAAAGAAAAAGAGAAAAAAATTAAAATAAGATAAACTCGTGCGCCAACGTTTATTCAGGAAATCAGGGGTCAATCTATAAAGCATACATTTAAAATTATTCAAAAGTTTACCTGTCAAATTCATACAAGAATCATTCCATAAACCTTTTTTGAATGCCATCTTAATTTCGAATTACGATTAATGGATGCTTAAACACCATACAAAGCTATACAAAGTCTTGTAAAAACAATAACATAAACGTTGGGTCACCCACCATACATGACAATCTCTTGATGACATATGATGAGGTCTGTAACTTCTGTAACCAAACTAGGTCACTTCCGTTGATTTCCTGATTTTGACCTGCGGTGGTTGTATTTGTTCTCTGTCATGATCATTTCTTTTCTGGGAGTTGTCTGTGATGAGGTGTGAAAAAGGCGAGAGCATCACAGCACGAAAGGTGACCTGGAAGGATTGGTATGAGGTTGAAAGAACTCGCGCTCTTATTTCTGAATGGGTGCATGTTGCCAAACAGGGAATGGCTTTGTTACCAAGTCACATGAAACCTTGGACAAGGTGCGAGAGTTTGCGGTGTGCTGTCAACACTTCACACCTTCTACCCACCAATCCCCCTCCGGTCTCGACCTGAATATTCGCGATCGAAAAGGCGCGCACAGACAGCAGTTTTTACTCGAAGTGAGCACCATAGACTATTTACAAATAAAGTAACATGGAGAACTGGGAAGGCCCTCGAGAGAAATTTTATAACACCCAAAGAGGTGTTGGCGGTGTTAACTTCTGAATTAATGAACCATTAGTTTCGATTCGGAAATGGAAAGCCACCTTTCCAAGCGGAACTAACGAGTCGAGACGGCTTTCTTATCTTGTTTGCCTGATGGAAATTATCTCACGGAATAAATATTGAAGAGCTGCCTGACGACTTTCTGGGAAATTTAGAGCGGGTAAAATGATGAAATTGGGTTACTCATTCATGAAATACTTGCCTCGGCGATTAATTACGTCACTGCGCCTAGGAAGATTTATTTCTTTACCACTGCTTCGGAAAAAGAGAATGCATCAGCCCGTCAGTAAGCGAAACGAACGTGCGCGTGATGGCAGCAGCGAAGCGAAAAAACGTTTTTTCGCTCCACCGTTTGATCGCATTTACCATACTGAGTGCGGCGGATTTTTTACTAATTGAATTATAACAGGGTATAATAACACTTGCAGCCCGCTCGGTGCACACTGTCCATCTTACAAGTATCTGAAACTTTAATTTTGAAATGCACAAACTCTAAATTGACCATTGACTTCCAGCACGAAAATGAGCTGACAAGCGCTTAAACACGATCACGATAACAGCGAATTCTTGGGTTTCAGGTGACGTCACAAGCTTTGCTGAAGTTAGTATCCGCCATGTTGGTGTCCCTCGGGTGTCAAATTTATGCATAATTAGTCGATTTCCATAGTGAAGCCCTCTCTCTTATCGCCGTATTATTTCGCCAACTACATGAATATCCAGAAANCGCAAGCCTCGAACCATACAACAACTTCTAGTTCCTCCTGTTCTTCCCCTTGATTTGTAATGATCTTAGGTATAGCGCATTAGATCATATATCCAATGAATTTTGCGCTATAGAAATAATAAAATTATTAAATTATTATACGAAAAAATCCTTAGTCTTTATGCTTTCCACTTTTGCTCGAACAGCCAACAACAATGCATAAAACCATCCCTTCTTTCTCACATGAACTCTTCGTTAGATACGGTTTGTTTACGCTCGAAGGACACCAAGATGGCGGATAGTAACCGTTGCTAAGGTATTGGTCACGTGGGTGAAACCCAAGGATACGGAACTCTGGAACAAATGTTCCGTCAGTTAGAAGCTCGAAAGGGAAAACACACTGCAGGATCGCAAAAACGTGTCTAGATGACACTGCACAAGAGGTAAAAAAAAAAATTGATGAAACATCGACGCCGGATTGTACTCATGTAGTGTGGATTAGTCGATTTACTATTGATCGTCAAAGTCTTCTAACCACGAGTCCTTGCTCAAATATTGTAAGTTCTTGTATTTCAGATCTCCCAAAGAGTTTGGGACCCGCATTTCAGATCTCCTCACTGGCGTACCACAGAATTTTTGTCACTGGGCTAAATTTCGTTCTGACAAGATTGATAGGGGTCAACAATAACTAAAGAGGAGTCGACAAGACAAGAAACCACAACGGCACTAATTATTTCGTTTCGACGTTAAACCGCAACTTAAACCAAAACAAACACTATACGCGAGGCATAGGCTAAAATCTGGACTGGACTCTGGACTGGACTCTGGACTCTGGACTCTGGACTCTGGACTCTGGACCCTGGACTCTAATTCTACTTTTACTGTAATAAGTATCGACAAAATTACGAACAACTATGCGCATCACTATGCGGTTAATTGAGTCAATTAAACTACAACATAAACTACAATATAAACTACAAAATAAACTACTTAATACATTACAGTAACTTATTTTATACCAGACATTGTCAGTACATGTCACTTTATTAGTTTGGGTGTGCACAACAAAACACCCGCAAGTATTTTCGCACAGGACATGGTAAAATTCTGTGCTAGAAAGTGGTTTTTGAAGGTGTTTTTGGGGCTCACGGTTAAAACTACCTTTTGCGAAAGCGAAACGAGCTGGATACCTTGTAGTTTTCTACAAGGTTTTGAATTTAAGGTTAAAACCGTGAGCCCCAAAAACACCTTCAAAAATCACTTTCTAGCACAGAATTTTATCATATCCTGTGCGAAAATACTTGCGGGTGTTTTCTTGTTCACACCCAAACTAACAACGTCACATGTACTGACAAGGTCTAGTATAAAATAAGTTCCTGTAATATATTAAGTAGTTTATTTTGTAGTTTAACTGACTCAATTAATCGCATATTGATGCGCATAGTTGTTGGTAATTTTGTCGATACTTATTACAGTAAAAATAAAATTAGAGTCCAGAGTCCAGGGTCCAGAGTCCACGGTCGAGAGTCCAGTCCAGTCCAGTCCGGAGTCCAGTCAAGATTTTAGCCTATGCCCTATACGCAACAGGATTTTAGATAACTGCAGTACCGAAACGATGGACTTTACTCACCGAACGACCGCAACACCGCAAATCTTTGTCCCCTTTTTCAAGGAAATAGCCACCCAAGGAAGCGTTGGTTGCCGTGTCACTCCAAAGTTGTACATCTTAATTTTCTCTAGGTTGCGTCAAAGTTTTCCTTTCACGTTTAAAATCAAATGTCCCAAACGAAGAATGGAGCCCTTTGAAAAGTACCCTTTGAAAAAACCCTTTGAATCGCCCAAGTGGTCCGTGCGTTAACGTCCCTCACATTTTCAACAAACTGTAGAGCAGGCAACTTACGAGAAAAAAAGAAACTTTTCGCATAAGCAATGTACTTTTGATTCAACTCCAAATTCTCAGAACTAACCGAGAGCAACGTGTATTGTGTTAGAAAGGAGAATGGACTTTCAGAGATTTGAAGTGACACATGACAGAAGCAAGTGCTGGTAAACTCGAGTTTGTTGTACATGTATGAAAAAAGTGTGATCTTAAGATGGCACTGCATCGTTTTGAGGAAAGGAATTTTGATATATCGTGTTAAGATTCAAATCTTTAACTCCCGAGATCTGATTGATAATTCTTCTTTCTGGCTACTACACATTTCCTCGTAAACTGGTAAGGAGAATTGTAAAGCCATGGAAAAAAATGCGTGGGCTGTTGCTGAAGAGGTGTGTCTTCGAATTGACGACTTCCAAGCGCCACGGGGATATATTTCAGCATTTTTGGTCGACCGACCAGAAAATCAATTTTTCTACAACCATGAGTACTTGAAAGAGTATCTTGGAGTCACCACCAATCAAAAGAGTTCTGTTCCGGGGCATGGGTATTTTTCCAAGCTAGAACAATTGGAGAGCCTCCATTGTGAGAAAGGTGAACTTTATATGGAGTATGGGCGAATGTCGTGTAAAGAGAGAAGTGGCAAACTATGTAAATTTTGCGAGAAGGATGAGACTACCAGCGCTGCACTTCCAACTCGACGTCCATATCCCGACTATGGCAAGCTATTAAACTTCCATTATCTCTCTTGGAGTGCAACCCCCACCGATGGCCGTGAGCCGGATGACTTCCAGCCTTGAGTTCAGATTAAGCGATTGTTTGAGGAAAGTGAACTAGTCAGTGGGGACAGTGAGGCTATTAGAAGGTTTTAAGATAAATACATTGTCCCCAAAAAGCTTAGAGTAGAGTATGTTGAGCACCTTGCCCAGATAAAAATGCGCAAGGAGAAGAAGAAAGAGGAGACTGTAACTGGAGCGAATGGAACGACTGAACCGGGAGTACAATGACATTGACTGGGTTGGACTGTACAACTCCGATAAGCTGTCGTCCTTGAGGGCGGACGAACTATCCTTGTACTTTTCCCATCACAAGATCACCTTTCAACGGGAAGAAAGCTGAAAAAGTCGCAACGATAAAAGCGCACATTGGTAGCTTGCTGTACAATTTAATGGGGCGTCAACAACCTCGGAAGCCCCCACTCAGAAATGTACAGTAACAAGTGACCTCGTAACTTTCTGATGTGGAAACTGACTCGCAAAGGGATGTAGTAGATCGAGTTGTCGGTTTAAGCCCGAGTAGCTAAAGTAACGAATCGTCACCGGACACTAATTTTATACCAGAGCCCCGCGCGGAAACATCTGGACGAAAGCGGGCACGGGTCGAGAGAGACAATTACGTTAGTTGGGACAAGATAGTTTTTT